TCTTTGGTGCCATTTTTTCTTACATGTCTTATATTTATATTACTTTGACCGGTTATATGTATTAACTTACCCAGAATATCAAATTAAACACAATCAGGACCACCTTGGCGCATTTTGCACCACAGCTTAGCGTCATCTTGTGGTAAGTTTCTGAACTTCTTCTCAGTTGGTTTTCTATTTAAAAATAATAATTAGTATAAAAGACTTTAAAATAAAATAAAACTTTAAAGCTAAAATACTGACGAATCAAATAATAGACTAATAGCTTATAAATTGAGTGTATCTATAAATAATTTGAAGTTTAATCACTGAACTCAATTCTTTATTAAAATCGTAATGATGAAACTAAAAAATAGGAAATTATTTATAGCCAGTTATTTAAATTGTTACAGAAACTAAAGAGATACACTGCTAATATTTGAACTTAATTACTTGGTATTTTATGTATAATTAGTTACATAAAATCAGTTTGTTAATAACATAACAATATTTCTGGGAGGTACGAACATACTCACAGAGATACACAAATATCAATAAATAAACGAACAGGAGCTAGCGATATAGATAAATATAATGAACATGCACAAATATCAGTCTGGTTGACTTGTAATGTGGAAGGTGTTGCTTGTTTTGTTTTGTTTTTTCCACTGAACAAACGAAATACGACTTCTATAGCAGTGTCGCTTTGGTGTGTGATAGTCAGGAGCATACCTGTCGTTGATAACGCCCTGTGCGAAGTATAAATTCTCCTAACAAAATTCTATGTAATGACTTGCAACATAATATAATTGTATATTTTTATTAAGACCGTACGTGGCCCGGCGGTTAGGACGCTCGACTCGCAATTGGAGGGTCGCAGGTTCGAATCCCCGTCCCACCAAACATGCTCCCCCTTTCAGCCGTGGGGGCGTTATAATGTGACGGTCGTTGGTAAAAGAGTTGGCGGTGGGTGGTGATGACTAGCTGCCTTCCCTCTAGTCTTACACTGCAAAATTAGGGACGGCTAGTGCAGATAGCCCTCGTGTAGCTTTACACGAAATTCAAAACAAACCAAATTAAGACCGTACACGCTTATCGGCGCATCATTCTTGATGATAGCACAAAGTTTTAAATCAAACTTGTTACAATCTAGAAAGCAAGGATAGTTAAATTCATCACAACCTATTCAAAGTTTTAGTATGTCTGAACATTTTCCAAATATATATATAGCAATTTATAAATACAAACTACTGTGTAGCGAGAGTTAATAATTGAAATAAATAATTAATAAATGAAAATATTAATTAATATTTATTCCGAGAATGAGAAATAAGTTCTAGGGGATTATTATTTACCTGAAGGAAAGTTTCAACCAGATAAATAACTCTCACTTGACACTATCTAATAAGAACTGAATTGTATCTCCAGTAATAGAATTAGCTAGGAATTATTCCATAAATTAGGCTTAAAAACATTATTTTATAAAGGAGGTGTGGCTATCTCATTTTGTAACGTACGTCCAATTACGTATGAAACAACATTATGTGCTGATCCACTACTGACATGAGCCACTTATTTTCTTTATTGTGTTTAAGAACATTTTATAATTCATCTTTCAAAAATAAACTATATTTCTGGTTTGTTTACGAATTAAATTTCACATAATAGTTTTGCATTGTTATTTCTTACCTTGTTATGAAAAATGACCGCCAGGATTCCAATCGCTAGTTCACAGCCGAGTATAATAAACAAGAACAGAAAATACTGAAAATAATGATATTAAAAATAACTTAATCTGTTTCGATCCCATATTATAAATATAAAAAACAATAGTATAGAAATACATTATTATTTACTTTATTTAGTGATTTGATAATTATTTAGTTTTCTTAACAAGGGTTAAAATTCGATTATTTTAAAAGCGATATTTATGACAAGTTTCATTGCGTGCCTCGGTACTAGTCGTATGTCATGTATGTAGTTTTAGTTGTTGCACAAGGCTTCTGTTAATATTGCTGACGAAACAAAATGTCACATTCAATAAATTAACTGTTCGGTCACTATGCCAACATACAGGAGCAAGAACCACATAGATACGGTCCAAGACTCTCTAGATTTTAATATAACCTATCTAATACGCTAATATTGTACTTGACAGAATGTACCAATTTTATCCAGTTCATATCGGAACAGTTGTTGTCAACACTACTACGTTCGTCGTATCCCAGCCAGCCAGAAGAGCCCTGGTATTGTCGAAAGGCCTAATCGACACTGGATATAACATATTATACACCCTTCCTTACTGTCACCCAGAAGTTTTTTTAATAAGAAATAGCCCAATCATATTCGCCAATCGATCTTTTAGCCCCTCCCTCTTCCTCCTATACCTAGTCTTCCTGCTTTCTCGGGTTCGAATCCCCGTCACACCAAACATACTCGCTCTTTCAGCCGTGGGGGGCGTTATAATGTGACGGTCAATCCCACTGTTCGTTGGTAAAAGAGTAGTCCAAGAGTTGGCGGTGGGTGGCGATGACTAGCTGCCTTCCCTCTAGTATTACACTGGTAAATTAGGGACGGCTAGCGCAGATAGCCCTCGTGTAGCTTTGCGCGAAATTCAAAAGCAAACAAATCCTGGTTTCTATGTCTATGTATTATAAAAAATGAAGAAAGCAGTAAAATTCAACTAAAATGTACCAGTAGCACTAGTGTGTATTTGGTTCAAATATATAAAGTATCAGTGAACTTTACCTGTAGTGGTATAGTTTTATTAACCAGTTTTTAGATGGTTGGATCACCTCGTCGTACATGTACCAGTAGCACTAGTGTGTATTTGGTTCAAATATAAAGTATCAGTGAACTTTACCTGTAATGGTATAGTTTTATTAACCAGTTTTTAGATGGTTGGATCACCTCGTCGTACCTATACGAATTAGTCACAAAAAAAACAACAGCTGTCAGGACAGTATAATTAAAATAATTAATATTCAGATTAGGATACACGGAATAAAAAAATACCGTTATTAGGAGACACTTGCTCTCTCTCACGGCCCCGCAACACCCGAAAAACCCGACTATAAAAACCAATCCACCGACTCCAATAAGTGCGAAGGCGAGATACTGCATCACGCTGTAGTTACCATCCACTTCGAACAGCTTGAACAAGGTTGTTTTATCTGTCTCCATAAGAAGATAGATCCCAGTGGCCAAAAGTGCAGCTCCTGACAACTGTAACCATAGAAACAGAAGTTTTTAACAGCGTGATTGTCACTCTGATGGCGAAATGCTAAACATTTTGTTGTGCATACTGGAGGGATTTAGACATTTTGGCAGTAAAGTTAAAGAAGTAAACTGCCTTTACTCTCCAGATAATAATTGAAAAAACTTTGTGTCAGTCAATATTTCACCACTGCAGCCTAATTGGAGCTAGTAGTACTAGAACCGTGCTCAACAAAAATGGCGAGATGTTGGCTGAAATAAAATGTTTTTATTATTACCTGTTGAGTAAAGGTAATTTATTTCTAACTGAATTGCTAAACAAATTAACGTAGGTTTTCTTCATTAGTACAAGCGTAAATAGAAAACAGATTTTGCATACACAATGCAAAAATAATACACCATTTTTAAGAATCTTCTTAGGTTTTAACTTTCACATATCCACTAAACTGATTGTTACTCACCGAGTTTGGCATTTCTTGGCTGAAGAGTATATTATTACTGGTGTCACAACGACTTCATCTACTGAAGATAAACTTATTATTAGATAAACCTAGAGATAAATACATCGGCTTATATCAAGTTCTATAAAATCTCTCAACTGTGATTCGATAAAATAAACTAACCTTTACTTGTGCAAAGTCAATAGACTCGGTAACATCCTTGTTGGAGCCATAATCCTTTTGTAATTTCTCTGTCAGATTTGTTTTCATTTTGTCTATGACCTATTAACGGTATAATAATTGTATATAAGAACGAATATCACTATGTTATTAGGTCAGTATTAAGCTGTACAGATACTGTCACTATCTGCCGCCATACCTAAAGTTGAATTACTGACCAGAGAAAAGGCAGCAAGCTACCACCAACACCAAGGTATTCACGGTCATTCTCATAGCATACAAACAAATCTGATAAAATGCGGAGAATATTTTATGATATCATACGAATTCGAACCCGGTTCGCCAGCTCGGAAATACAGAGCTCTATCACGCGGCCAAACTGTACATCTTATCCCTCACTTCATTGGAGTTTCTAATCGTATGTCTTTAGATACAACATACAGAGGGTGAGGTCAAAGTTATTTGTCTAAATATAAGTAACAAATACATGTACTGAGAACTTTCCGACATGAAACATGATGTTAACCTACAATATAATATAAACTGGAGTAAGTGTCTTTTGATACGCCCTCTATATGGTACGTAAAGATGAATATTAAACACCTAAATAATACTTCATATAAATTCCAATACTTTAATGTACCATTTTTATTTATTGGATAAAATGTAATGAAGAAATATATGTTGAGATTGACAACACAATCATTATTGAGCATGAGCAAGGTTTAACACAAAAACACGGCCTGGTGGTTAGGGCGCTCGACTCACAACCTGAGGATCGCGGGTTCGAATCCCCGTTCCAGCAAACATGCTCGCCCTTTCAGCCGTGGGGGCGTTATAATATAACGGTCAATCCCACTATTCGTTGGTAAAAGAGTAGCCCAAGAGTTGGCGGTGGGTGGTGATGACTAGCTGGCTTCCCTCTAGTCTTTCACTGCTAAATTAGGGACGGCTAGCGTAGATAATCCTCGTGTAGCTTTGCGCGAAATTCAAACCAGACATCAAATACCAACTTTAGCCCCTCTATATTGATTGTGGGGGGGTCTATGGGTGCATGCCAAGTATGGTTGAGATCGTTAGAAAAATTAAGGCGGAAAGACACACAAAGAGTGTTTTCCCCGAGTCATATGAGGGTGGCCAGATTTAAAGTCTGCTCCCTACGTCACTCCCCAGCAGCGGTGTCACAAAGACTACAAACAATAACATGTCTGAGCTTCTTTACAGATATGTTTAAAACTATAGCAAAATATGATGAAATTCTGCTACTTCGCCTTACTATTTTCGAGCTAGCTTAACAAAACTCCGAAAACCCGTGCCCGTTACATGATCTGAACAAGCTCTATATACAAACAGTTGACCTACAAAAGGTTAGTGACCAATAACAGATAAATATGAAAACAGTAGATGAAGTCGTTGTAAC